TATGGAGGAGGAGCCGCACTGCTCCTGGGCGGAGGTTGCTGACCTGTCAACACCTAGCCGTGGTTTTTATCGGGACACCCTTTTGCAAACTGAAGCTCAGACTTGAGGGTGCTGCTCTCTTGAGGCGCCTTGCCCTCCCTGTGCCTTATGTCCCCAGATGCCCTGTGTCTCCCAGGTCTCCTGTTTCCCCAAGATATCCTTTCCCCGCTACTTGGTGCCTTGCTTACCTCTGCCTGCCCTGTCTTCCTCATCCCTATGCACTGCTGACCTAACCCTGCGGTACTGTCCCTGGGCTCTGTCCCTCTTCCTCCTTCCAAGATGCCCTCTTATTAGTTGTTTTCGACCATCCGTGGTGATGTCTTTGGGTTGTTTGTGTTATTGCAGATTTCATAGGGGCACAGACAGAACCATGTGACTTGATCTAAGACCATGGTGGGTATGGATAGGTTGAACATAGACTTACCACTCAGGCCTGGCAAGCTAGAACCAAGGGCATCCCTCCCTTGCTGCTTGAGAGCAGTAATAGAAGAAGTGGAGGGAACCTTAACTACGCAGAGGACTGACCTGGAGGGCCTTGTTGGGCCCAGGGGGTGGCTCTAGGCTGGAAATGTAAATGAAGAGAAAGAGCAGATGAGGACTTCCAAAGAGGGCCTACGTGTTTGGGGAGCATCCTGACTACTGGTATCCATCTCAAAGGATGGGTGACATAAAGGCAGTCAGCTGTCCTAAGTCCTAGGACAGCCACTAGATTCCCACTTGACCCATTGTAAACTAAAGAGCCAGGTTTGGGTTGTGCCTGGACTTTTTGTTTTGTTTTTGGTGGCACTGGGATTTGAACTCAGGGCCTCACACTTGCTAGCCAGGCACTCAACCACTTGAGCCACTCCACCAGCTCTGTTCCCGGACTTTTTTTTTTTTTTTTTTCTTTTGGTGCTGGGCCTTGAACTCAATGCCTACATCTTGAGCCACTCCACCAGCCCTTTTGTGTTAGGTATTTTCGAGATAGAGCCTCCTGAACTATTTGCCCAGGCTGGCTTCAAACCGAGATCCTCCTAATGTCTGCCTTCTGAGTAGCTGGGATTACAGGCATGAGCCACTAGTGCCCGGCTGTTCCTGAACAACTTAATGAATTTTTAACTCCACATTTAGACCAGTCACTGTTGTGGTCTCACAGGAAGAGGCAGGACTTCCAGCCACCTGGGCACATGAGCACCCTACTTTTCAACACGAAGGAACTTGCTTCTGTCATATTCCAGAACTGTCATTTATTTTCTCTTTCCCTCCTCTCTTCCCCCAGGGGTGGTTTTGCACAGGGGCTTTGGGGCCCACTTCCTGGGTCCTGCTTCTGGCTGCCCAAACAGGTAGAGGTGGATGGAGCCAAGAGACTTGGGGTATGGCCACTCTGGGACACCTGGGGAAGAGGGGACTAGAGAGGAAGGACTCCAGAGTTCTGTGCCCTGACCCCCAGAAAGCCTCAATGGCCTTCTAGACTGACCTCAAGCCAGAGGAGCTCTGTCAGGGGACCTGGCTTCCAGCTGAATGAAATTGGCACACACATAGTAAGAGCCCAGACAGACAGAAGGCCCCCAGGCAGGCTGGGCCTTACATGTCCCTGCCTCCTTCCCAGCCCTGCCTGAAGGCGGGAGAAGGGTCTGCACTTCAGACCTGTGGTTAGAAGCAGAGGGTCACAGGTACCAGACCTAGGGACTGGGGGCTTCCCAGAGAGACAAGCCCTCAGGGAGGAACCTGCAGAGTTCAGGAGAACCCCTCCCAGTGCAGAGAGGCCCGCTCAGAGGGAACTGGAAGTGTCTGTGGTCTCAGTCCACAGCAGAGAAGCATCGTGGGTGGAATTCCCCAGGCCCGTGTGACATAGGCAGGAGGCTGCAGTGGGCTTCTCTTTGCCCAGTACCTGCCCTTCTTCCCAGCTATCTGCACTTTCTAGATCGGAGGCTTTCAAACTGAACAAAGCAGCTGCAGCAGCCCCTGCAAGACAGATTTCAAGTTCAAAAACTGACCCTGGGTAGGGCCAGGCAACCTGTCCCCACGACCTGGCAGAATACCAGGATGCACTGCAATTGGGAACTGCTGCTCTAGGGGACCTGAAATGAGCAGAGGCTTGTCTGCCACCTACCTATTTCCCTCCCTGGGCTTCTAGGGACACCACCTTTGGGCTGGGGAAGGTTTTCATGATAGTTCTTCAGAGAGAAGATTGCTGCTGGGTTTTTGTAATTAAAGTTTTTTATTTGTTTGGTATTTTTTGTTTTGTTTTAATTTGAGACAGGGTCTCGCTGTGTAGCCCAGGTTGGTCTCAAACTCTTGTATTCCTTCTGCTTTGGCCTCCCAAGTGCTAGGATTACAGGCATGCACCACTTTCCTGGCTAAAGTTTTTATTTTGAGATGATTGTAGCATCCTGTATAGTTGTAAGAAATTGGGAGGAGAGATCCTTTGTATCCTTACCCAGTTCCCCCAATGGCAACATTTTGCAAAACAGTAGCATGTCACTCCAGGATACTACATTGATACAGTGCCCAGGCTGTTTTCTGTTACAGTCTTGTAGTCACACCCACCTCCCTTCTGCCAAAATTACAGACCTGGAGTGAGGAATACCCACCACCACCACATTTCACCCCTGGCCACCTCCAGTCTGTTCTTGGCCCACTCATTTCAGTGTGTCGGCAATACCAAGTGAAGGCATCATAGTTACAGCCTTTTGGTATTTCATCCAGGTGATGGCGTGTTATCAGTGGCCCATGTGATTTTCTGGCATCCACCCTTGTGGCATCCACCCTTGGTTTCGCTGTTCATCCATTGATCGAGCAGATGGACTGTTTCCATTCTTTGGCTGTTAGAAATAAAGCAGTCCCGTGCAGGTTCTTATATGGACTGGAGTTGACATTTCTCTGAAGTAAATGCCCAGGAGTGCGGTGGCCAAGCTGCACCCTGGTAACTGCACGTGTGTGCTTAGTTTGATAAGAAGTGACCAGGCTGCGCCATTGTGCATTCCCACCAGCAATGGGCCAGAGATCCAGTTTCTCCTCGCCAGCATTTAGTGATGTCACTGCTTTTTAATTTAGTCATCCTGATAGACGTGTAGCAAAATCTCCTCGCACTTTAATTTGCATTTCCCCCGCTGACTAGCATCTTTTCAGATGCTTACTTGCCATCTGTGTGTCCTATCGGTAAAGTGTCTCTACTTGCTTTGTGCCTATTTTCAAACTGGAGTTTTGTTTTGTTTTGTTTGGAGTTTTTGAGAATTTGTTACACTTTCTGGATGCCAGCCCTTTGTTGGACATGTGGGTGGCAAATATTTCTCCCCAGTCTGTAGTTTAGCAGGTCTTCCACAGAGGAAGAGTTTTTAATTTGGATTAAATCCAGTTTATCCTTCATGGATCATGGGTGGTAGAGCGTCTGCCCTAGCAAATGTGAGGCCCTGAGTTCAAACCCCTGTACTGCCAAACAGACAAAAAAGTTTATCCCTTATGGACGGTGGTTTTGGGTGTTAAGTCTAAGAGCCCTCTTCCTGGCTTACATCCCAAAGATCTTCTCCTCAGTTATGTAAACATTTTAGAGTTTTGTGTTTTACTTTTAAACTTAGGAGCAAATCCATTTTGAGTTAATTTTTCTTTCTTTTTGTGGTACTGCGGTTTGAACTCAGGGCCTACATCTTGAGCCACTCCACCAGCCCTTTTTTTGTAATGGGTTTTTTCTAGATAGGGTCTCAAGAACTGTTTGTTTGAGCTGGCTTCAACCCTCTATCCCTCTATCCCTAGTAGCTAGGGTAACAGGTGTGAACAACCAGTGTCTGACTTGAGTAAATTTCAATGTGAAGTGGGAAATTTGTTTGTTTGCTTCTCCAGTGCTGGGGACCAGACCCCAGGAGGGCGTCATGCATGCTAGATGGTTTCTGTACCACTGAACACTGGACACCCCTAGTCTCTTGTCCTTCCCGCCATTTTTTTGTGTTCTGGGTTGTTTGTTCATTTTACCAGTAGACGTCCAGTTGTTCAGGGCCACTGGTTGGAGAGGCTGTCCTTTCTCCATTGAATTGCTTTTGCACGTGGCGTACTTACATGGCTGTTTTTAAGTCTGTCATCTCTTCCATTGCCTCCTGGCTCAGTCCCTCTATCAGTACACAGTCTTGATTGCTGGATCTATTTCCTGATTCCTGAAATGCACAGAGTTGCTCCAGGCCACCTCTGGCAGGTCTAGGAAGGAGTTTCTGCTTGTTCCCAAGTCCCCCTTCCTACCAGGTCACCATCCCATGGTCAGGAATGGAATGGGGATGCCAACCTCTGCTGCCTGGCTGAGGCCTTCTGGCTTCTGCTTCATGAGCAAGACTTGGTCTGGGAGGGGCCAAGAGTCAGATTTAAACCCCCACCCCCACACAGGGCAGGAGGCCTGAATACTGTGGGTGGGGCACCCTCCCACACTTCCTTCCTCTACCCTGATTGGTTCCCTTCCCTCCAGGCCTCTGCTGGGCCTGGAGGGGTCATGAACTCGCAGTGCTCTGGCTGCTGAGGCAGGGCAAGTCACAGTCCCCTTAACAGCACTTCTTATTGCTCTTGTCTGATCTGGGGCTCTGGGTGCATGGCTCATCCTTGTTGAGCCTGCAGGTGTTGTTTGCAGAATGGCTAAGGGCAGTTTTCCTCAGTGCTGAGCTGTGATCGAGGCCCCTGGTCACAGGGATCGGTGGGTCTCCTAGGCAAGAGAGAGGCCCCATGAGTGCTGGATGGCAGGATGGACGCACTGGCGGTCAGGTCAGTGTGCTCAAGGGCTGTGTTTGCGTGTGTGGCAGCCTTGCGGTACCTAAAAGGCAGTGGAAACCAGGGCAGAATGTGCTCTGGCCTCCCCAGGGACTCCCCGTAACATGGATGTGGTGGACATGAAGGTGGCCCAATATGTGTTGGGACCCAAGGTAGTGTAAGTGAGGCCCTGGGAGGGGGAGAGTCCAGGGGCAGGGCCTAGGGTAGGGCTGGGCCTGCCTGGAAAGGGGCTGGTTTGTGGCACTTAGAAGCAGCCTGGAGCTGGGCACCGGTATCTCACACCTGTAATCCTAGCTACTCAGGAGACAGGAGATCAGGAGAAGCCAGCCCTGGCAAATAGCTTGGGAGATCCTATCTCGAAAAACCTATCACTAAAAGTGCTGGTGGAGTGGCTCAAGGTGTAGGCCCTGAGTTCAAGCCCTAGTACTGCCTGGAGGTGTGCTCACTCTTGTGGCCAGTTACTCAGTGGGAGTGCAGATACAGCACAGTAAGCAGGAATCCCATCCCTTGTGCCATCCTGCCACTGCCTCCCCGCCACATTCCCTCCTGACCCCCAAGTCCCCATGGTTCCTGGATCCCATCCTGAAGAGGTAATTTAGTGTCCTCTACCCCTGCTTAAAATGTCACCTACACCACAGTCCCTGCTGTGTCTGTGGGTGCCCACCAGCCTTCCACCTGTGATGCGGTGAGCATCCCTGCTCCACATGGGCTTGTGAGGGGCAGGACTTCTTGCCTAGCCCCTGGCCCAATGGCATCCGAGTCAGTTTGGAGGTCCCCTGGCCTGGAGCCCTTTTGCCCTCTTGGAGGGAGGGAGCCATCAGCCAGGGACTGGGCTATAAACCCTGCTTCAGCGGTGTCCACACACTCTCCTCCAGGTTAGACTGGAAGATGGCTCTTCTGTATCCACTTTGTTTTTTTGAGACAGGGTCTTGCCATGTAGCTCATGCTAGCCTTAAACTCCTGATCCTTCTGCTTCCACCTCTTGAGTGCTGGGATTACAGGTATGCACCACCATGCCCAGCTTCTGAAACCACTTCTTGACCTTCTCAGCCCCTGCTTCAGCTCAGAGCCCCCTCTAGCTCTACTCCTTCTCAGCTCCTTGGGCCGCCCAGGGTGGGCAAGACTCTGAGTAGGTGACACCTCCCTCTGTCCTCCACACCAGGACCTTCTGAGGGATTCCTGGCAACCCTGTCCTCTAGCCCTAACAATATGGGGCAGCCCCATTGATCCCCCCAGCTTTATGTGGATATCCAGTTCTTGGTACTTAGAACCAGAAAGCCTATTTCCAGGGTGGATCCAAGAGCTGTGAGTAGCAGGCCCAGGTCAGAAAGGCTTCATGCTAGCTTCTGGGCTTGGTTTACAGTAAAAGGGTTGAGCGGGTAAGGATGACTTAGCTTCCTCTAGTGCCCTGCCTTCCACTGGACCCCAGCCATCCCTTCCTTACAGAGGAAGAGGCAGGCCTGGTGGCCCTGGCTCCCTCTGCTCTGCCTGAAAGGGTCTCTGGCTACATGTAAGCTCATACCTTTGCCTTCTATCCACAGCTAGAGCAGCAAGTCTCAAATAAACACCAGCAAACCCGGCCCACAGGCCACTCTGTGGTCAATGAACTCCATGAACCCCATGAAACCTGCCCTACCCCCCGCCCCACATGGGTGAGTGTGGGCCCCTGCGGCCAGCCCCTTGCGGGCCCTGGGCTCTTGGGCACCTGTGGCCTTGGGACCCAGGCCTCACCCGCTGTTCTCCCTGTAGTGATGGTTCATTTGCATATGAGTCTGTGCCTTGGCAACAAAGCGCCACTCAGCCAGCCGGGTCACTGTCTGTGGTCACTACTGTGTGGGGAGTTGGCAACGCGACCCAGAGCCAGGTGAGCACCCACCTGGGCCCAAACACCTCCCAGGCCAGAGCCTTGGTGGCACCTAACCGTGCTTCCTGCTTTCTTAGAGCCCTGAGACAGAAGGGGAGCAGGGAGGAGGCTGGGGCATGACAACAGGGTTTGCTGAGTCTCACAAGTCATCCACGGGGTGCTGGTTTTCTTCACTGTCTTCAGCATGACCCATGGGCTCCATTCTGCCCCTCCCCAGGTCCTCTCCACACTCGCTAGCCCTCCTGGTTTAGAGCTGTGGCTTGAAGAGAGTGATCTGGCTGGTTCCCTTTGGTAATTCCCACTTCCTTGTAGGTTTTGGGAAACCCAATGGGCCCTGCAGGAAGCCCCCCTGGTGGCTCCATGATGCCTGGTGTGGCAAGTGGCAGCTCTGCCTTGACCTCCCCGCAGTGCCTGGGACAGCAGGCGTTTGCTGAAGGCGGAGCCAGCAAGGGCTATGTACAGCAGGGCGTGTATGGCCGCGGGGGCTACCCTGGGGGCCCCAGCTTTACCACTGGGTAAGTGGGGCCCTTACCTGCCAGTGACTGGACTGTCAGCCCAGCAGGCACCTGGCAGCTGCTTCCCCACAATGGAGGAGCCCATGCAGAGAGTGTGGCAGCTTATGTCTCTTACAGGTATGCAGGTGGCCCTGGGGGCCTGGGCCTCCCCTCACATGCTGCACGGCCTTCTGCAGACTTCACGCAAGCTGCAGCCGCTGCTGCCATGGCTGCCGCCGCAGCCACTGCCACTGCCACTGCCACTGCCACTGTGGCTGCCCTACAGGAGAAGCAGAGCCAGGAGCTAAGCCAATATGGAGCGGTGAGGCCCAGTCCCAGCTCTGCCATGTGGTGGCCAGCCTGGGTGGGCCCAGGGGAGATTCTTCTGCAAGGGAGTGGAGGTCTGAGAACTCAAGGGACCTACGTGAAATGAGCTGGGGGCTCCTCAGGCCAGTGACAGTTGAGAAGGAAAGGAGTAAGGACCTGAGGGAGGCCCTGGGGCCAGATGCAAGTGGGCTGTGCTCATTTTTTGGAGCCCTGCGTAGGTGGAGCCGGAACCATTCCTCTTCTTTCTCTTCTTAGATGGGGACTGGACAGTCTTTTAACAGCCAGTTTCTGCAGCATGGAGGTCCCCGGGGACCCACCGTCCCTCCTGGCATGAACCCTACTGGCATGGGAGGAATGATGGGCCCCTCTGGCCTTTCCTCCATGGCCATGAACCCAACCCGGGCAGCGGGCATGACACCCTTGTATGCAGGGCAGCGCCTACCCCAGCATGGGTACCCTGGGCCTCCCCAGGCCCAGCCACTGCCCCGACAAGGGGTCAAGAGAGCCTACTCAGAGGTGAGTGTTCTGGTTGCCCAGTTTCCCGTGCTGGGTACTGATTCCCCACCCTCCTGTCCTCAGAGCTATAAGAACTGTCTGTCCAGAGGACTGGGGAGCCCACCTTCCCAGCACATGGGAAGCTGCTTCCCTCTGATACCTCTTTTTTCTCGCCCTGGGCGTTTCCCTCTTCTTCAGGTGTACCCAGGGCAGCAGTACCTTCAAGGAGGCCAGTATGCACCCAGCACTGCCCAGTACGCGCCTGGTCCTGGGCAGCCCCCTGCCCCTTCTCCCTCCTACCCTGGGCATAGGCTGCCCCTGCAGCAGGGCATAGGCCAGTCCCTGTCCGCTCCTGGTCCCACAGGACTGCACTACAAGGTAGGGTTGGCTCCCTTGAGCCTGTGCTAGGCTGAGGACCACAGGACAGTGGGGACCTGGAGGCAGTCCTGCTCTTGAGGAGCAGTGGGCTGGCTTGAGTAAAGCCGCACAGGGGTCCAGCCAGGCAGGAGCTGCTCCTGGGGTGAAGGGCTCTGTTCAGGATTCATGTGTCTCCATGGAAGTTTGGTGTAGCAGCAGACAGCTGTCCAAGTCATTCTGGCATCCTTTATGGAAAAGTGTCCCATCAAGAGGACAGGCCCTCTCTGCTGGCAGTGCACTCCATCCAGAGTGTGGGTGGGTAGGTGGGTGGTACAGCTAGAGGTCAAGGAGGGGAAGAGGAGGGAAGGGTCACCCATTTTTCTATAGTGGCAACTTTTTACACTTTGAAATCAGTAATGTTCCTTGTGGATGGTTTGGAAAATGCAAGGGAGTGGTGGGCTTCTGGGATCAGCTCCAGGGGGCAGGCTGGAGCCCCAGGCCCACTCAGTTTTCCCTCTCGCAGCCCACAGAGCAGTTCAACGGGCAGGGCACCAGCTTCAATGGGAGCACTGTCAGCTACAGCCAGCCTGGCCTGAGTGGGGTATGGGCTTGCTGGGTGGGTGGGCCGGGAGGTTCACAGGAGGTTCCCAAGGTGGTGGGCCATGGAAGGAGGGCACCCTTGGGGCTGCCTCCTGCCCACCTCTGTCCTGATGGCTTCTGGGGGTGCTCTGTGAACAGACTCCACCCCACCCACTCTGCCATTCTGCTTTGACTGTTTCTGCTCAACCCTTATAGCCTGCCCGGTCCATCCCTGGCTACCCCAGCTCCCCACTGCCGGGGAACCCCACACCACCCATGACGCCTAGCAGCAGTGTCCCCTACATGTCCCCAAGCCAGGAGGTCAAGTCTCCCTTCCTGACTGACCTCAAGCCAGGCCTCAGCTCCTTGCACCCATCGCCATCTGGTGAGTACTCATGTTCAGGAGCACGGCCGTAACCAAGCTGGGGTGCCTTCAGACATCCTGGGACTCCAGAGAGTTCTGGGGGACCTTGGGGGTCAGTTACAGCTGCTACATCCTGAGAAAATGCAAGATTGTGTTCTTGGTTTTTTTTGTTTTTTTTTTTTTCGGTCTGCAACTGGGGTTTGAACTCAGGGCTTCATGTTTGCAAAACAGACGCTGTACCACTTGAGCCACACCTCTAGTCCATTTTGCACTGGTTGTTTTGAAGTTGGGGTCTCACGAGCTATTTGCCCAGGCTGTCTTGAACCATGATTCTCCCAGTCGAATCTCAGCCTCCCAAGTAGTTAGGATGACAGGCGCAAGCCACAGTTGTCTTCTTTTTTTTTTTTGGTACTGGGGTTTGAACTTGGGGCCCTACACCTTGAGCCACTTCACCATAATGGTTATTTTTTTTTTGTTTTTTTTTTTTTGAGATACGGTCTTGTGAACTATTTGCCAGGGCTTGCTTTGAACTGTGATCCTCCTGATCTCTGCCTCCTGAGTAGCTAGGATTACAGGCGTGAGCCACTGGCCCCTGGCTAGGATTCTATCTTGAAAGAAAAGCCGTTACATGCTTCTGTTTTCTGTTTCTGGTCCTGTGCAGATCAGTTTTTGTGAGTGTTCTCTCTAGAAAACACTCATGCACACAAAATTTTGTATGTGATTTCAGGGATTCATAAACCCCCAAAGCCTGTCCCATAGTTAGGAGCGTCTACTTTCAGAGAGACCTCCATAGTGGAAGTTGAGGTCCACTCACACCCTGGTCCCCAGTCTCTGAGTGCACTAACCATCTTCTTGCGTGGTCCCTGTCAGTTCAGAGGACACTGGGTTGGGTAACTGAGGCAGGACAAGGCAGTGGGACGTTGGCCCAAGGTGTGGAGAGAGAGGTTGGCCAAGGCCCCACCATGGGAGATGCATTCCTGGCAGGAGAGCTCAGGAGCAGCAACCATCCTTCAGTGGTGGAGACACTCTGGTTGGCGTCCACTCACAGGCAGCACTGCCTCTGTCCCCAGCAAGTGGCCCTTGTGATGAGCTGCGGCTGACCTTCCCAGTGCGGGATGGGGTGGTCCTGGAGCCCTTCCGCCTACAGCACAACCTGGCTGTGAGCAACCATGTCTTCCAGCTCCGAGACTCTGTCTACAAGACCCTGATGCTGAGGTGAGCCCCCTGTCCTGCCCTGCCCTGCCTGGCCCTGTCCAGCCCCATCCAGCCCTGTACACACATTCTCTGATGGCCTCCCCGCTCTGCAGGCCTGACCTGGAGCTGCAGTTCAAGTGCTACCACCATGAAGACCGGCAGATGAATACCAACTGGCCGGCCTCTGTGCAGGTCAGCGTCAATGCCACGCCCCTCACCATTGAGCGGGGAGACAACAAGACCTCGCACAAGCCCCTCTACCTGAAGCACGTGTGCCAGCCTGGACGCAACACCATCCAGATCACCGTGACTGCCTGCTGCTGCGTGCGTGCCCAGCAGGGTGTTGGGGAGGGCGGAGGGCTGCAGCACCCCCAGTTCTGTTGACAGCTAGTCCTGAGTGGAGGGGGTGGCTGAGGGTGCAGGCCTACCATTTTTTTTTATTTTGGTGGGACTGAGTTTGAACTCAGGGCTTTGCACTTGCAAAATGGACTGAGCCACACCTCCAGTCCATTTTGCTCTGGTTATTTTGGAGATGGGGTCTCAAGAACTGTTTGCCCAGGCTGGCCTCGAACCTCCATTCTCCTGATCTCAGCCTCCCATGCAGCTAGGATTATAGGCTAAGAAAAGGTATGCTGTTAAGTAGGCCTAGCTATTTTCCAGTTAGGTTAATCTTACTAGATTTTTTTTTTTTTCCAGTAGCAGGGCTTGAACTCAAGGGCTACACCTTGAGCCGCTCCACCAGCTCTTTTTTGTGATGGGTTTTTTGAGATAGGGTCTTGGGAACTATTTGCCCTGGCTGGCTTTGAACTGTGATCCTCCGGATCTCTGCCTCCTGAGTAGCCGGGAGCTACTGGCACCTGGCTAAGCTTGCTAGATTTGATGCTCACGTTAATTTTGTGAGAGACCAAGCCCTACAGAGAGCCCATGGGAGGGCTCCGCCTGCAGCTGACCTGGCATCCCGATTCCCGCAGATGGGGTCCCACAGACCTTGACCTCCATTGGCCCCACTCCCATCCTGGCTGTGAGGACTGGAGATGAGATAATGAGACATAAAGTTACATGGGATGTGGAAGTTTAAGTCAGACCCAGCGTCAGAAGGGCAGATGGCATAGTAGGGATGTGTGGGACATTTCTGGTGACAGAGGGTGAGGCCAGGGCAGTAGCCGAGCAAGCATGGGCTGCAGAGAAGAGCAGCTGAGATAGATATGAGTACGTTAGGAGTGCCCAGCCACCCAGCTGCGGCCAAGGCCAAGCTCACAAAGCCATCTGTCCGTGCGCCACCACTCAGGAGGGCAAGTCCGAGCTGCTAGGGGTGTGGTCAGCTTGGCCCTCTTTTCCCCTAGACCCCTTCTATTTATTTGCTGGTACTGGAGTTTGACTCAGTTCCTCACACTTGCTAGGCAGGCTCTCTTACCATTTGAGCCACTCTGCCAGCACCCCCACACGTCTTCCCTCTCTCCCTGGCACCCCTTGACACAGCTCCTCGCTGTCTGTGCTCTTCTCTCCGACCGTGTCCCCTTACCCACCACGTCTTCCACTGTGTTGCAGTCCCACCTCTTTGTGCTGCAGCTGGTCCACCGTCCATCCGTCCGCTCCGTGCTGCAGGGCCTCCTCAAAAAACGCCTCCTGCCCGCTGAGCACTGCATCACCAAGAGTGAGTGTCCCCACCCCTCAGGAACACTGCTCCCTCTGCACTGCATACACTGGCATCACAAAAGGCCAGCTCCTCAGGCCAGTGGCTCAGTGCAGGGTGGAGGTGGGGGGAGTGGTTAATGGAGCAGTGGTCATGTTCCCCGGTGAGGGAACCTTGCTTAAGCCCTTTCCCTCTCCATGCCAGTAAAGCGGAACTTCAGTAGTGGCACCATCCCTGGCACCCCTGGGCCCAATGGAGAGGATGGGGTGGAGCAGACGGCCATCAAGGTGGCCCTGAAGTGCCCCATCACCTTCCGCAGAATCCAGCTCCCTGCCCGCGGCCATGACTGTCGCCACATACAGGTGGGTGCTCACTGCAGGGCCTTGCTGCAGTTTGCTGCCTTTAAAATATTTTGAGGACTGGTGGAGTGGCTCAAGTGGTAGAGTGCCTGCTTAGCAAGCCTGAGGCCCTGAGTTCAAACCCCAGTACGGCCAAAAAAAAACTACAAGTCTCATGATTAGGCAGTTCTCCTTCTGGCTGTTTACCCAACAGAAGTGTATACAACAGTATTTATGGCTACCTGATTTATAATAGCTTCAAATAGAAACAGATGTTTAACAAATATTTTGAGCCAGACATTGTGGGACATGCCTGTAATCCCAGCACTCTGGAGGCTGAGTCAGAAGATTGAGAGTTTGAGGCCAGCCTGGGCTACATAGCAAGATCCTGTCTCAAAAACAAAACCAAAAATGCATGTCATGTCTTGCAGGAAAATAGATAGAACTGGAAATTACTGTGTTAAGAGATAAGCCAAGCTCAAAACACAAATCTCATACGTTTTCACTCGTAGAATCTGACCTAAAATGATGATGACATTAATAATAATAGTTATAATGTAAAAGGTGGACTGTGGGGTCCACACGGGGTGGGGGAGGAGAGGACACTGAGCATGAAGAGGAGGGACATACGCTGCATATGTACAGGTGAAGACAGTGTCACGAAGCCTCCTAAACACTGTTTCAGAGAGGGGGAGGCTGCCTAGTAAGCGGAAGCCTTCAGTTCAAATCCCAATTCTGCCAAAAAAAATTAAATTAAAAAAAAAGTTTTGAATGCCAGGCGCTGGTGGCTCACGCCTGTAATCCTAGCTACTCAGGAGACACAGATCAGGAGGATCGCGGTTCAAAGCCAGCCTGGGCAAATAGTTGGGAGACCCTATCTCGAAAAACCCTTCACAAAAAAAAAAAGGGGGCTGGTGGAGTGGCTCGAGGTAAAGGCCCTGAGTTCAAGCCCCAGTACCACAAAAAAAAAAAAAAAAAAGAAAGAAAGGTTTTAGCTGACACCTTAGTTCATCCAGGCCCATTCCCTCCCCTGGGGATTGAACTTTTTTTCTTCTAAATAAACCATAATTTTCTCTTATTTTTAGTAGCTACTGCATTACCAAGGATCTTTTTTTTTTTTTTTTTTTTTTGGTGGGACTGGGGTTTGAACTCAGGGCTTTGCACTTGCAAAGCAGGCACTCTATTGCTTGAGCCACACCTCCAGTCCATTTTGCTCTGGTTATTTTGGAGATGGGGTCTTGAGAACTGTTTGCCAGGGCTGGCTTCAAACAGAGATCCACCTGATCTCAGCCTCCCAAGCGTCTAGGATTACAGGTGTAAGCCGCCTGAGCCCAGCACACGGGTCTGTTTTTAAAGGCTTAGGGGAGTGGTACAGCCTTCTTTCTGCCCACCTGTCTGCAAAGGTGCGGTCTTTGCAGAATGCGGCTCTGGACTGCAGCTGTTCCCCTGAGGTCTCCTTTAACTCCTGCTCTGGGGGCCGGCCACTGTCAGCACAGCTGCCCGGTCCTTGCTGTGGTCACAGGGCATTGCGGGTGTGGTGAGGGCAACTTGGCTAATCCCCACGTTTGGCCCATTAGGGTGATGTTGCAGAGGGAACCTAGTGCCTGAGGTGTCTGGAGCTCACACACAGACAGTTACACATTGCAGAAGATAGATCACAGGGTGGGCATCGCTCCTGCGAGGGCCCATGGTGAGAAACGACCTGTGTCCTCGTCTCTCCACAGTGCTTTGACCTGGAGTCCTACCTACAGCTCAACTGTGAACGAGGGACCTGGAGGTGCCCTGTGTGCAAGTGAGCCTCATGGGTGATGAGGGAGGAGCTGCCACTTCCTCTGTGGCTTCTGTAGGGGAAACTCCAGCAGCATTAGCAAATACACACCTGGTTGAAAGGGTCACAGAACAGACCATGTAGCCCAGCCCAGGGCACAAACCTCCTGCTGGGTGGTTATCACAGGGTTGCCTCACACTGGATGACTGTGGACTGATGCCTCACATACGTGGTCCCCATGCACAGAGTCACTCTACATAGGTGACAGGCTGAGGAAGGACAGCCGAGGTTGGACAAGGCCTTTGAACCAGTGCCCTTTGTTTTCTACAGCAAGACGGCATTGCTGGAGGGCCTGGAGGTGGACCAGTACATGCTGGGCATCCTGATCTACATTCAGAAGTAAGTGACCTCTTCCTGCCACCTCAGTGTTTGTGGCCAGCAGAGGGTTCCTGCCGCTGGGTTCCAGCCAGAGGTGGCACCCCAGCCCCAGGCCCCACATGCTGCCCAGCTCCCCCAGGAGGTGCCCTGGGGGAGCAGGGGCAGCACAGACGGCAAGTGACCGGCACCTGTGTCCCTCCTTGCCTAGCTCGGACTACGAGGAGATCACCATTGACCCCACGTGCAGCTGGAAGCCGGTGCCCGTGAAGCCTGACGTTCACATCAAGGAGGAGCCCGATGGGCCGGTGCTGAAGCGCTGTCGCACCGTGAGCCCCGCCCATGTACTCATGCCCAGCGTGATGGAGATGATCGCGGCCCTGGGCCCCGGCGCTGCCCCCTTCACACCCCTGCAGCCCCCCACAGCCCCTGCCCCCAGCGACTACCCTGGCCAGGGTGAGTACAGCACACCTGTGGACCCCAGTGGCCCTGGGAAAAGGAGCATCCTCTTCAGATGAGTGTCCATGCCTGTGGGAGCATCGCTCGCAGGCCATGAGCCTGGTTCCCACTGTGTCAGAGCACCTGGATAAGGTGTCATCCTCCCCATCCCGAACATGGTGGTGAGGCCTCCGCCACCCTGCCCCCCCAGTTTTAGCAAGGGGACCTTGGCTACAACACAAATTGGCCCCATCTGGGCACGTGGTGCATTTGGTTGTGGGTCCCAGTCCATCACCCCTGAGGCCTCTGCTCCTAGGATTGTCCCAAGGCAGACTGTCCCCCTGGCATAGTGAGAAGTGTGTAGTCACTGTTGCCAGCGGTAGGTGCTTCAGCCAGCCACTCTCCTGGCACCTCTGCCAGCCTGAGCCCTCCCAACCTGACTCTGCTCTTGCAGGTTCCAACTTCCTGGGGCCTGGAACCTTCCCAGAGTCTTTCCCACCCACCACGCCCAGCACCCCAAACCTTGCTGAGTTTGCCCCAGGGCCACCCCCAATCTCCTACCAGTCCGACATTCCCAGCAGCCTCCTGACGCCAGACAAGTCTGCTCCCTGCCTCCCGGGCCAGGTCAGTGCTGTGCTAAGCTGAGGAGCTGTGGGGGACTCCTCAGGGAAGGCTTGGGCTGTTTTAACAACTTCTCTCCATCCACAGATGGCACCAGCAGGCCACCTGGACCCGGCCCACAATCCCGGGCCACCAGGGCTGCACACCTCCAATCTGGGGGCCCCCCCAGGTCCCCAGCTGCACCATCCAAACCCTTCCCCTGCATCCCGGCAGCCCTTGGGCCAAGCAAGCACGGGGCCTGTCAGCGAGCTGGCCTTCAATCCAGTCACAGGCGTGATGGGGCCTCCCACCATGTCTGGTGCGGGGGAGGCCTCAGAACCAGCCCTAGATGTGAGTACCAGATCTTGGGCTGGGGAGTGAGTGCATGGGAGCCCCTGAAGGCGATTTGTCCATTGTCCCCCTGGGTCCACTGTACCTCAGAGAAAGAAAAATGGTGACACCTCAGGAAGTCCTGGTCAGATAACATCAACCAAATGAGGCTCCGTTAAGCATGCGTCAGACAGACATCTTGAATATCTGGGGTGCTAGGTACCCTGAGGACTGGGCACTGTCATGGTTGTGTGCAGAATCCTCTGAGAAGACCAGGCTTGACGCTCAGTCCTTAGAATCTGACATGACCCGTTCATTCCTTCAAGTTCTGCGTCTTGATGAGTGGTGTGCAAGCCCCAGCTCAGTATATGAAAGCTGGTTAACTATCCCTAGAACCTAATTGAAATCCCACACAAAAAAGACTAGAACAACCAACCCAGAGCAGAAAATCCTAGGGGCTTGGAGTCCTACCACCTGCATTCGCCCCTGGGAATCACACTGTGGAGGCCCTTTTGGGGCCTCTGCACCCCATGCACAGCTGAGCCATGTTGAGTGGGCACTCTGACTCCTGATGGTGTCTACCAGCATGTTGGGAGCACTTCCTGGTCCCAGGGCAGCGTGGCCACCTGGACATGATGGGTCTGAGATCAGTGCTGCTAATGTGTTTGCTTTGTCCCCAGCTGCTTCCAGAGCTGACCAACCCCGATGAGCTGCTGTCCTACCTGGGCCCACCGGACCTCCCCACCAATAACAACGATGACCTGCTCTCTCTCTTTGAGAACAACTGATTCCGAGTTGACCCCCGGCCCTGCAGGGGCACACTCAAAGATGTCACCACGGCCTGCCCTCCTCACCCAGCCCCACAGGATGCCTGGCAGTCCTCCCTAAACCTCCCCCTGTACATGCCGAGCCAGGGCCTGCCACTGCCAGCTCCTCGTGGAACTGGAAGCAGTCGCGTGCCGTGTCTGAGGCACCCTCGCCAGTGGCCTCACCATCCTCCCTCCCCCAAACCCACTGCTACAGAACGGTTTTAGCCGAGGTGCCCTGTTGGCCCTGTCCAGCCATGTGCACACCCCATACCCCTGATCTTGTGGCCTTGCACCTTGTCCTTTCACCCCTGCCTGCTCCCCCCAGCCTGCATCTGGTCCATCATTCGCCCTTCTGTTTCTGCTCGTTTGGGAGAAGAGCCAGGTGTACCACGAGGCTGGCTCTGGCCCCTCAGCCTGCAGCTCCACTGGCCTGTGCCTGGCAGCCCTGGCCCTGGAAGCTCTCCAGGGCCTGGAGTGCCCACCCAGCCCAGCCTGGTGGTGTGGGGTCCCTCCTGCCCTGAGTTCCAGGCAGAGGCTGGGCTCTGGGGATGTGAAGCACAACACTGTACATAGTGTAGAAACACTACCAGCCAAGGGGGAGGGCACAAGCTGTGCAACTCGGCCCAGGCTGCCCTCTGCCCTCTGCAGACAGCCCCAGCTCCAGCTCAGAGGGAGGTTCTGGCCCTGCTCGGGTGGGTGCTCAGACTCAGCTCGGTGTGCAAGTTCCCTTGTGGGCTGCTCTCCCAAGTTCCCCTTTTCTGTGAAAGTGAAGACAGTACAGCTGTGTTTTTTAAAACCACCTCTGGCTCCACCCCAGTCCCACACCCAGGTGGGGGTGGAAGCCATTGTATCTGCTGGCTCAGGCCAAGCCTGCAGGCAGTGCGCCCAGCCCGCCCGCCCGTTCTGTCTCCTGTCTGTGCGATCTCCATTAAAGGACTCCCTGTTGATGGGCCTGCTGAGTCCCTTCCTCATGTTGGGGGCTGGGGTCTCCCTAGGGACCAGGTCCACGTCCGCAGGGTCCCACATGGTGCTCTGGGAGTTACACACTGAGCCTCAGCTCTTCCTACCTCATGGTAAATTTCCTTTTCCCTGGAATTTTCCAAGTTGGCTTTAGCGGGAGAGCCACTTTGTGAGGTGTCCCAGGCTTGGCCAGGAGACACTCACCACCATGTCACCTTCCCTGGGTGCACCCTGGGCAGGGAGCCAGCTGTCTGTTGGGTGAGGTCCCTGGGCCTCACCAGAGCAGGGCTCTGCGTCTCCCTCCTTGAGGGGTGTAAAGCTGTGTCCTAGTACTATCTACCTTTCCAGCTTGGGGACTTGGGTTGGGCCCAGTGGCCCCTCTTCCAAAAGCCTTCCAATGTAGCAGTTGAGATGGGGACTGCTGGTGTGGGGTTGTGGGGAGTGCACCAGGGCCTTCCCCATGCCCTAAAGCCTGAAGCTGCAGGGTGGAAATGGGGGCGTGGTTGAGCAGCTCACCTAGCTGAGAGCAGCTGACATTTGGGACCATTGCAGGTGGTCCTTTTTGTCATTCCTCCCCCACACACCAGGAGTCTGGTGGTGGCTTTTCTGCCCTCTGGCCAGGGGAACAGACATGAACAGTAGGCTAGGCCCCAGGAAGTGTGTAGACACTGCTCACCAGAGTCTTCAGCTATAGACAGCCACCTGCCCTGGGGAAAGCAGGGGGTGGGGCTCTAGGAGTGCCATCTGACTGCTGGGCTTCACTGCACCAAGGAGAAACCTGGAGGGTGGCTGCATGAGGAGTGACTGCCCAGATATTCTAGAGCAAAGAACACCAACCATTGCCTCGAACACCATCATGAATGGGTCTCTGAAACAATTTGGGATACAGGCAAAGCCATTTTTAATACAGTTCAAAGTCAATGTGAAGCATGTAGGAGTTACATGGGAGGTCAGCATGGCTTACCATTGGTGTGGGACAGGGACCTTCTGGTCTTCAAGGTGGTGGTAGCTTCATGGGTCTTCATCCGTCACACTTCCTTTGTCAGTTACCTGTGTGCCAAGTATTATGCAACCTTAAAGACAAAACACTGACAAATAGAGCAGTCTTCAGGACATGTCTCTGTAAATTGCAGCCTGAAATGCTGTAATATCTCTGGTCACAATGGAACAAAACAAAACCTACAGCAGAAAAAACAAAACAAAACTGGAAAATACCTTGAACTGTCAACCCCAGGGCCTCCTACATGCTACCCAAGGTCTCTAGAATTATAGCCCAGCCATCACTTTTTTTTCCTTTTGTAGACACTCCCATTGTGTAGTATAGGCTAGCCTAAGTTCAAACCCCAGCACTGCCCCCCCCAAAAAAAAGCCTCCAGTGCAGGCCAGATGTGGTGGTGCACACCTGTGGTCCCAGCTACTGGGGAGGCAGAGATAGGATGGCGATTGAAGCCTGGTCCAGGCACAAGCTTGAGACCCTATCTAAAAACCAAAGCAGGCTGAGGGTGTGGCTCAAGTGCCACAGCACTTGCTCATATGAGGCTCTGGGTTCAATCCCAAGCAACTGCAAAAAGTGGATTCCAGACATGACCAAGGAGGAACTGATTTGGCCCTGGGGTCATTGGGGCCTCTTTTTTTTTTTTTCTTTTCAATTTACCTTGTTTGTATTTTTAGTTTTTTATCATGGCACTGGGGTTTGAACTCAGGGCTTCATGTTTGCAAAGCAGGTGCTCTATCACTTGAGCCACACTTCCAGTCCATTTTGCTCTGGTTATTTTTGTTTTGCTTTGTTGGCAGTACTGGGGTTTGAACTCAGGGCTTCATACTTGCTAAGCAGACTCTCCATCACTTGAGCCACTCCGCCAGCCCTTCTTTGTGAAAGGTATTTTTGAGACAGTCTCACAAACTATTTGCCTGGTCTGGCCTCGAACCTCTCTATCCTCCCAATCTCAACCTCCTTGAGCAGCTAGGATTACCAGCGTGAGCCACACAGGGTAGGTACTCTCTTTGGTTACAACTTAAAGTAAATTGTAGACAAAATAAACACTTCATCTTTCAAAGCTTCAGCGTGTATCTTAGAAAAATAAGAATGTCCTCTTATCTAACCTCATAGCTGTCACCATGCCTGAGAAAATCCCATAACATCCTGTTCTGATTATAACTTCACTTCTGGGTCCAGAATTCAAATCTAGAAAAATCCCTTTTTTTCTTCCTTTTCATTACATTGACTTTCATACAGTTCAGCCATGATGCCAAGAAAAATGTCCAAGAGTTCCTCCCTGTGTCATTGGCTGGCTCTTTTTTAACACTGTTTTTTCTGCCTCCTGGAGGGCTAGTCTGGAGCCTGAGTGGGTAGTCTCAGAGGCTGGGGTGCAGCTCAGTGGCAGCGCACTTGCCTAGTATGTGCAATGCCCTGTGTTCCATATCCAGCACCTCAAAAAGAAAAAAGAAAATTAAAACTTCTTGTCCAAAGGAGATCCTGACTTTTAACCTGTTTCCCAGCTGGATGTATCAGGATACTGTCATCCTGATGTGTCTCAGTGCCAGTGATACTTGTCAAAGAAATTACCCACCCCCTCAAAAGACAGAAGTTAACCCCAAAATGAATGTAGCTGCCTCCCAGGAGGACAGCTGACTGACTGCCCCTGAGCACCGACTGCACCCAGCATACCCACCCTCCTGTCCCACTCTGCCTGGTGTCCTAGCTGAGGATCTGTGCTCGGAAGACCACTGTAGGATGCTCATGAGTGTTTGGTGAATATTTGGAGGTCCGGTTGCCAGTGTGCTGTGCTGGGATTGATGTGACAGAGACCACAGCATGGGCCCAAGTGTCCACTGTTTGAAGGACCTTCAGGCACAGCCCAGTAAGCACTGCCAGATGCCACCCGAGCGCCCTGCCGCTCCCTCTGTCCAGGTGACCTTCACCTGGACACTTGGCTGACCAAAGCGAATCCCTTTCCTGTTGTTTCGGCAACTCCACGTGGCCAGTCCATGTGGCCCTGGGGACATCGTGCTGTTGTGGGTGGACTTTGAGGATGTCTCTGCCTCTTCTGTTCCTGCCTGGTGGAATGTGGTCAGCACTGGACCTTGAGGTCTGTGCCAAGCATTGAGGGTAGGAACAATAGGATGACACAGCCTGGTCTACAGTCAGTGGTGGAGCCGTGACGCTGGCTTAAACTGCCCAGTCCAGACAGAAGAAAAAGATGTCCCCCTGTGTTTTCTGTCTGCAAGCAAAGCCTCATCTTTGTTTTTTGGTTTGTTTTTGCTTTTGATTTTTGTTTTTTGTGGTATTGGGGCCTAAACCTTGAGCCTTGAGCCACTCTACCAGCCCTTTTGGGTTTTTTTTTTTTTTTTTTTTGAGATAGGGTCTCATGAATTATTTGCTGGGGACTGGCTTTGAACCTCGATTCTCCTGATCTCTGCCTCCTGAGTAGCTAGGATTACAGGCGTGAACCACAAGTGCCCAGCCCAAGCCTTGTTTTGACTGCAGCTGCCCAGGACTACAAAGCCTGGAGGGGAGCCAGAAGGATCCAGGCGTGGCATCCAGCCATAGGCCAACCTGCCGGTCCAGTTTCTCTCTGCAGAGACCTGAATGTGATCTGCTCTTCTGTCCTCTATCCTTGCAAAGGCCCAAAGAGTCAGCAGCAGGGCCAACTTGTCTGGAGTGGCACCCACCTCCCACAGCTGGCCAGTAGAGGCCGAGGCAGGGATACTACTCCCATGTGATAGATGTCCAGATGGGGGAAAAAAAGTGAACAGGAAAAAAACAGCAATGGAGCAACAGAGTCCCTCCACAGCTGGCAGATGTGCAGGTGGTCCAGCACATTGGAAAACGTGGGTTCTTGCAGAATTAAATATTCACTTAACATATGATCTAGCAATTGTCCTCCTTGGGATTTGCTATGAGCTGAAAACTTAATGTCCACACAAAAACCTGCACGTGGCAGTTTTATGGCAGTCTTATCCAGGATTGCAAACTTCAGGAGCTCATGAGTGTGAAATGCCACCTCAAATAAACAAAAGAAATAAAATTAAAATAAGCCGAGCACCGATGGCTCATCCCTGTAATCCCAGCTACTCAGGAGGCATAGATCAGGAGGATTGTGATTCGAAGCTAGCCTGGGCAAATAGTTTGCGAGGCCCTACCCTGAAATACCAATCACTAAAAACAGCTGGTGGAGTGGCTCAATGTGTAGGCCCTGAGTTCAAACTCCAGTACCACCAAAAAAAACCAAAACATATGCACAGGCCTCACACGCTGACGGATGGCTGTGCCCAGGGCCGTCCAGATGCTTAGGAGTTGGGGGACAGGATGCCAAAGAAGAGAGGGGCGCAGAGAAGATGTGCCCAGTCTGGGTGACCGTCCCCCTCAGGCCTTGTCTGCACCTTGAGCTGCAGCTGCCAAAGGGCCACACTTGGGTGACTGCTCTGCTGTTGCTGTCACAAAAATCTTTAAGACATTTCAATGAGGGGCCCATGTTTTTATTTTGCACTGGAAACTGGAATTAACGGAGCTCATTCTGGCAAAATGAAAGGAGAAACTGAGGAGTGAGCAGCTGCCAGGAGCCGAGAGCAGAGACAAAATTTCAGAGGTGGCACAGCCCAGGAGAGGTGACACAGCCCAGAAGTGACACAGGCCAGGGAGAGGTTAGTACTCCAACCCAGCCCAGGAGGAGGCTTTGTGAATGTCCCGGAGTGACAGCCATGTACCAGGGCTGCAAGAGGAAAGGCAGGCCTTTCCCAGACTTTACAGCCAAAGCACTGGGATGGTCCCCATTGGCCAGATTTGGGTGTCCTGAACCAAATGCTGCCACTTCCACAGGCTGGAGCTGAGGGACTGCCCAGTCCTGGAGCTGGAGTGGGACAGTCCCTCCAGGGTCACCCCAAAAGGAATTAGGGTGCTAGTGGCCAAAGAAAGGGTCTGGGATGCTGCCCTGGCAGGAGACACAGTTGTCCCTCCCATGCGACTGTTGACCCTGATGTAACTT